ACTGACATAGATGAACCTCACAAAATATGAATAAAATAAGCAGATATAAAACAATATCTAGTAATTCCATTTAAATACAGTTTAAAAAACTATAGTGTTATAAGTTTATCAAAAAATATCAGTTGCTAAGAAATAACAAATGCTTACCATATGCCAAGTACCATTCTAAGTAATTTTTATGTATTTTAACTTGATTTTCACAACTCTATAATTAGAGGCAACTAATTATCCCAAATGTGCAAATTTAGTCACAAAGAGGTTAAATACTTTGCTCAAGGCCACAGAGCAACTACTACGTGTTAGACCTGGGATGTGAAGCAGCTAGACCGGCTGGAGACCTTGCAGTCTAAACGCTACATTGCCGCTCAGTGGTAGAGCTTTAATGGAAACACAGGAGGAGGAGGGCAAATGAAGCAGTGAGAGATAAGAGAATCAGAATTCCTAACTTCCCATCTCCCAAGAAAACAAGCACGAGGTAATGCCTAAAATTTTGGGGATGGGGTGGGGGAGGAGAAAAGGGATCAAGAATTAGCAGTATATGCATGTTAACAAAAAAATCTGGAGGAAAGATCAGAAAAAACCCAGCTAAAACCATCACAAAAGTAGATGCCTCTAGGGAGTGAGTCAGAGTGGACCAGGGAACTGTTAATACTTAAAAGCCTCGCTATTACAGAAAAACCACAGACACATTACTCTGATAAAAGTAATTTTGAAAGGTTTTAATAAGATCTAAATATTTTAAAAACAACACTATCATGTATTGAGCCCCAGTGTCCCTGGCACTTAGCTGAACATTTGAAAAGGAATATCTCATACAGAGTTTGGTGCCCGTTATTACTACGATTTTGTTGATGGGGAAACAGATTCAGAGTTAACCAGCTGGCAGGTGGCAGTGTCCACGTCTGGACCACCACTAGGGAAGATGAAGGTCTAGAAGTCATCAAAGTAACAGGGATGAAAAGATATTCAGGAGTCCTGGACAGGAGCAAGTGACTCATGCTGGCTTCAGGGAGAAGGGACAGAAGGAGGGCGATCTAGAAAGGATAATCAGGGTTCTGGCTTGAGTACCTGAGGATACGTTGGTCCTTTTCTCTACCACAAGGTCCATGGAAAGAGGAGCAGAGGGCCAGGCCTCTGATGGGGAGCTCCTGAGCTTAGTCATGGATATGCAGAGCCCCTGTATGTTTGGGAAAGGCACAGAGGAGTCGGGCAGGATGCATGAGGAAGACCTACCGGTGTGAACTCAGCAGAGGAGGAAGGGCAGGCAGAAGACTGAAGAGCATGGAAGGACACAGGGAGAGAAGGAACAACCGTGGCCTGGCCTGCTGACTGTCCAGCCTCTGGGCCGCCCGTCCAACATGCCCTGTCCCCCCTGGTACTCACTGCCCTCAACATCACCAACAGCTACCTCCACTCTTCAGAAACTTGTGTCTCTAAACTATCTTCTGAAATATAATCCACTCATTTATCAATACTGAGATGTCAGGGCATCCAAGAGCCTCACACTTTCACTGTGAGGCACCATGGGACCTGGCAGAGCCCGGGCCAGCGTCAGGCCCTGGCTACATGCTCTCGCCGGGCCTCCACACTCCTCCTTCGGAGCACAGAAAATGGCCAAAGAACTCACTTCCTGTGCTTTGGTTACACAGTATGTCTCTCTCCTTCTTAGCAGGTACCTGAGGGCAGGAGGGGCTGGTCAACTTTTCCTGAAAAGCTCTAAATAATAAATACTCTGGGCTTTGTGGGCCATGGGATCTCAGTCACAGCTATTCAACTCTGCTCTTGAGGCAGAAAGCAGTGGAGACCACATATAAATGAACAGGTATGCTGTGTCTCAGTAATGCTTTATCTTTGAATTGAGGGGTAGGCCAAAAGGCCAGGGTCTACTGAGCCCTGCTCTGAATTACCAGCACCCAGGTCAGCATCTGGCATACAGCCGGCACTGGATGAGCAAATAATGAAAGGAAACAGCCCTTGGCTTTGTCAGTGAGTTGGAAGCAGGTCCTGAGGGAAGGTGGTTTCAGCAGAGCGGAGAAGGTGGGATGGTTGGCAGAGGGCTGAAGAAGCAGTAAGCTCTTGTTCCAGAGCCCCCAGTTTGCCCAGCAGGTCTGGGGAATGGCCCTGTCTGAGGGGAGCAGGTCTGTAGGCAGGGCTGGGGAAGGAGTCAGGGTGCTCCTGAGCTCAGGCGTGCGTGGGGTTCGTCATGAAGGAGGGAGACATGTGCCAAGGACAGAGAAACAGGGACGGGTAGAGATGACGGGAAAGCCTCATCTCGCTCTTGCCTGTGAGACGTTCACCCACACTAAACAGGGAAGATAGCCGGGCTTGGGGACAGGGTGCGCGGCCAAACGGAGAGGACGGGTCGCCAGGACAGGGCCATGGACCTCCGCGTGAGCACCAGAGAGACCCCCAGCCTCCCCTCTTCTCTGGCGAGGCAGCACCTCTAACAAGCTGGCGGTGGGGTTTGGGGCGCTGACTAGTGTGAGGTGTGTCACTCCCTGAGTCAGCAGCAGGGCCTACTGTCACTTCCTGCCACTTCACTTTCCCACGCACGTAGTGACAGGCAGGTCTAGAGGAGGATGAGTTCACACATTAAACGTGCAGACACACCCAGTCTTTTCCTGGAGAACATTCAAAGTCACTTTAATGTCAGAGAGTCAGTGGTGGTTTCATCTTGATGCCTTCAAATGTGGACGTGCATGCTGTGAATTATTTTCCGATTAGACAGATTAGATTTTTAAGTGGAAACAACCAATTGGGTGAGGCTTTGCATAGCAGCTACCTAGTTTTATAACCTTAACAAGAGTATTAAAAGACACGAAACACAAAAAACACAACTTCTCACAGAGGAAGTATCAACAGTACGCTATTTAAACAGCCTGAAAAGTTCAGAGGCAAAAACCTATAGCCAGTCAATTTCACTTTTCCTATGAACCAGATACCCCCAAAAGGCTTACATTTTGATATTACTCTGTTAATTCATCATTACTACAGGAATGTGCAGGCATGGTGCTGAAATGTGTGAGAAGGGTTCAGACTCCAAACTATTTTTCAGGAAGAGTTAAAGCCGTCTAAAGTATCTTTTAGTTGACATGCCAGGGAAAAAAAAGCATTAAGACCTATATTCTTCTGCCTTATTTCAAGGTGAAATTTGCTGTTCCTATTCACAGATCGAAGGCTCTATGTATATTCTAATAAATAAAACTTTAATTCATACTTTCACCTTCAAGCTTTCACTTTTCACAAGTCAAAAGACGATTTTCCTAAAACACATCAATCCTTGCTCTACTCTTTCAAGTCCTTCTAGAGATTATGGTAATCACCGTCTCCAAATTCACTAGCTTTTAGAACGGGGATGCTTACCCTTGTAACACATCTTTGTTTCAAAGGACTTTTTAGTACACCTTTAGATGCATATTCAGTAAACATAATCTCTTACCCTATTGTTGGGTTGATGTTCGGATCAAAACTGTCTTCCACGAACCGCCACACAATACTTGATTTACCCACACCTGTATCCTGAAATACAATGAGAGAGGTGAAGAAAAAAGTTACTTGCTGACACATACCAAAAGCTGCCTTGTGCCCTAAGTTCAGGATTTTGGAAAAATCATCCTGGATAGGTGAATTTTAAAGAAACACAAAGGAGATTTTCATAAAAATTCACTGGAGTAATTATAAGATTTCAAAATGTATTGCAGGAGAGGATATATGAGTTTACAAAAGATGTGAGGATCTTCTGAAAGACCCCAAGTTTCTGCGTAGCGTGCAAAGTGACAAACTCAATTGCTCTCTAACAAGTCTACCTTAAGAATGAACTCTTGAACTACTTCTGAGTAATTCCTGATACATCCCAGCCCCACCCAATCTGGGAAGGGGTAAGACTAGTTATTGAAATCTTTCTCAGTCTTTAAAGTAGCAACTCTGGTAAGAGAGCATCAACTTCAGAAAGTATGCTCTGAAATCGCAAAGTTGCCTTGACAAGTAAGGAAGCTAAAGCTTCAAACCAGTTTTGGGGGCTTTTTGATTTGAATGTCTCCACTCCCGCCCCAGGAAGGTAAATCTACAGTGAAGTATCAGGGGTATTCCACAAGTTCAAAAACACCAAGCAGACAGGAAAACAGACTAATGCTGCTTGTAAAACATAAAGACCTGTTACTAGTCACTTTGCAAGCCTTGGCCAACTCCTAACTAGTACCTAGGGAAACTATTTAAAGACTGCTCTTAACCCAGAAGCAATGGAAGGGCAGGGAGGACTCTTCACCCTCTGGGGGGCAGGAAGAGTCCCTGGGCACCTGGGAGGGACAAGGGTGAACCCTACCAACAGCAAATCCTTCAGGAGGGTGCGGCCAGGTGGGCGGGACGGCCCAGGGCGCCGAAGTGAGGGTCCGGGCAGGTAGGTGGTGTCCCGCACTCAGTCTGGGGGAAGGGGCGGAGGGAACGTGGGCACGCCACGGTCTGCGGCCCGCCTGTCCTCCCGCGGCCCTCCCGGTCGGCCCGCCGCCACTCACCCCCAGCAGACACACTTTGAGCTCCCTCAGCGCCATGGCCTGGGAGCCAGGGGCGCGGGCCCGCCGCCGCCCTAAGTTGAGAAGGGAGAGGCCCGGCCCAGCACGAGCATCCCCCGGCGCCGCCGCCGCACGGCCTAGCCCCGGCCGCGGGGCGCGCAGAGGCGGCGGTCGCCCGTTCGCTGGCTCTCGGCCCGGCCCGTCCGTCGCCAGCCGCGCGGGGCCCGTCTCAGCAGCCCGGACGGTACCGCGGGTTCCCGGGAGCCACCGCCGCCGCCATCTTGGGACGCCGGCCGGGTCACCTGACCTCCCCGCCCACTTCGGCAGCCACCTTCGCCGAGAGGGCGGGGCCGGCCGGCGCAGCTAGGCTCGCGGGGAGGCCCGGGCTCGGGGGCGGGGCTGGCACTGAGGGGGCGGGACGCGAAACCACATACCCCGCCCCTATCCCTCAGGCCCCGCCCCTCGGGCGCCGGCCCCGCCTCCAGGTCATCTCAAGATGGCGGGTGAATGGGGTCCAGCTCCTGGGGCACCCCCCTCCCCTTCAGCCGGAACCACCCCAGGAGTCCCGAGGACCCCCCCCCGCCCATCCCTGAGTCCACCAGCCGCAGCCCCCTCGTAACTCCTTGTGTGTCTCTTGGTTTTCAGAGATGCCCCTGTACTTTGTGGACTTGCAGGATGACTTAGACGATTGTAAGTAACAGTTGGGGCATCCCGCCCCTCCCTGGGAACTTCTCGCAGAGTTAGGGGTGCACAGATGGTGGGTGTGGGATCTACAGGCTGAACTCTTCTTGTTGGAACCAGAATAGGGGGACCCCCAGTTGCCTTGATCACTTGTGGCGGTCCCTCCTCACTGGGCGGGGCGGCCGAGGACGGGGACCCCTCCCAGCCATGGGGAGGATTTTTGTTGTTGGAAAACTTCTGACTTCCTGTTACTTTCTTTCTCTTCCTCCTCCTCCTCCTGCGTGGCCCGGGAGGGCTAGTCCTTCGTTCATCCTGGCGATTCCCGGCGGGAGGAGGCCTGGCCCCCTCCGGGGTCGGGGGTCTTCCAACCAGGGTCTCCAGTTGTTCCCCAGGACTTGTCAGAATGCTGGGGAGTTTGGGAGGTCCGGCTCTCAGTGTGGCCGGCCACAGACTCGCACAGACTTCTCCAGTATCCTGGCCACAAGCCCAGCCCTGTTTCATCCTGAGGAGCCCACTGGTACCCGCCTTTCTCGGATGGGTCTCCCTCCAGTACCTTCCTACCCTCTCCTTTAGAATCACTTTAAGGACTGATGGGTGGAGAAGATGGACTTGTTAAGGCAAGTTCGTACTGGTGGTGAATGAAGCATTTCTTTTCCATTCAGCAAACTTTTCTTGAGGACCTCCTGTTTCTGGGCCAGGCCGTGTGCCGATCCCAGAACCTACAAAGATGAACCTGAGACTGTGACGGCTCTCACAGGCCAGGGAGAGAGCCACCTTGTAAACAGATGATTACCAAACCCTGGGTGCTTGCTGATGAAGGAAGCCTGTACAAACAGTACAGTAACCGACATCAATGGGGCTTACTGTGCTCTTTCCTTTCTGCATCTACAGGTTTCCTACTAACAAGAACTGGGGTTTGCTGAAAATACCATAGGTCAGGCACATTTATTTATACACATACTTTTTCAGAAATAAGTGTAATTTATACACATTATTTCTTTCAGAAGGAGGCAACTTTATTAAAGTAAAATGACCCTTGAAGGGGCCAGTGGTTAGGAGCGTGGGTTCTGGAGTCAGATGGCCAGAGGGTGAAGTCCTGAGCCACTCTTTACTGGCTGTGTGATCCTGACCAAGTCAATGTACCTCTCTGAGCTTCACTGGCTTCATCTGTAGAATGGGCATAATAATGGTCCACCTCAGAGGGCTTTAGTAGAGCTTAACTAATAAAAGGTTTAGGAACTTCTTTGGTGGTCCAGAGGCTGAGACTGTGTGCTTCTAACGCAGGTGGCCCAGGTTCAGTCCCTGGTGGGGGAACTAGATCTCACATGCCACAACTGAGAGTTTGCATGCTGTAACTCAAGATCCTGCATACTGCAATTAGAAGGTCCTGCATGCCTTGATGAAGATCAGAGATCCTGTGTGCTGCAACTTAGATCTGGCACAGCCAAATAAATATATAAAAAATAAAAGGTTTAGCACGAAGTCTTGTACGTAAGAAGCAGTAAATATTACCTGCCATTATTATTCATGTGATTATTCATAATTATTGAATACTGTGGAGCAAGGTACAATGTGGGCCATGGGTTTACAAAATGTTTCAGCCAGTGGGTGTCTTTGAATGGAAGGAATGTAGCATTGCTCTTGATAAGCAATAGTAAGCTGCTGTTAAGGCACCTCTCATTCATAGATTTAATGTTAGGCCTGGCTAGGCACCTCTCATTCATAGATTTAATGTTCGGCCTGGCTGGAATAGCTGGTTTTTGGCTATTTCCGTTATCTAACAAACTACCTGAACCCTTAGTGGCTTAAATCAACAGCATAACAATTCTGTGCATTGTCTGGGTGATACAGAAGCCTCATGTGTTCTCTGGAACTCTGGGGAGATGGGAGGGTTCAAAACGGCTTTCCTCACTTGGCTGTTGGCAAGGAAATCTGCTGCAACTGTAGATCAGGGCCTCAGTTCTCCAGTTGCTTCTTCCACTTGGCTAGCTTGGACTTTCCAAGAGTAGTGTAAGTGAAGTTGCTCAGTCGTGTCCAACCCTTTGCAACCCCATTGACTGTAGCCCACTAGGCTCCTCCATCCATGGGATTCTCTAGGCAAGAATACTGGAGTGGGTTGCTATTTCCTTCTCCAGGGTATCTTCCCGACTCAGGGATCGAACCCAGGTCTCCCGCATTGCAGGCAGACGCTTTAACCTCTGAGCCACCAGGGAAACCCTCAAAGGGTGGTGGTGGCAGGCAATTGGATCTCCTCTGGCAGCTAGCTTCCTTTTGTCTTTTCTGTATATGTGTACAGAAAGGAATTAAGAGATTATATAGGAAAATAATTCTGATTTTGGCTCTGTACATATCTTAGGTGACACTTGTAATAAAGAATGCATTCAATACTGTTTAGGAGACTGCTGAAGACTTGTCCCAGTAAGGAAGGAAACCAGCATCATGGCTCTGAACACACCCAGGCCATGGGTAGGGCCCCTCGGGGAGCCTCCCGGGGCCTCCTTATTGTGCAGAGGTGGGGCTTCAGGTTGCTGTATCTATGAAATTATAATATAATTGGTCTAATTAATAGCCATAATAGGAGGGCCTTTACCCCCCAGTAATTTATGCTGCCCTAGGTCCCACTTTACTGTGGTGGTATTTGGGAGGCATCATTACACTGTGATTACGGCAAAAACCCTGAGGTCAGGTGATCCACTTCCTGTCTTTAGCTGAGTCAGCATGAGCCGATCACTCACCTTTGTTCACTTTCTTCATCTGGAAGACCTGACAACTGGAGATGCTTCATAGGACTGATACGAGGATTAGATGAGACAGAAGACACAAAATGTTCTAGGGACTTCCTTGGTGGTTAAGACTCCAGTGGCTAAGACTCACACTCCCAAAGCAGGGGGCCTGGGTTCGATCCTTGGTCAGGGAACTAGATCTCACATCACCCAACTAAGAGTTTGCATGCTGCACCTAAAAAAAAAATCACACATGCCTCATCAAAGATTGAAGATTCCAAGAGGTGCAACTAAGACCCGGCAAATAAATAATTAATTAATAAAGTATTAAAAAAAAAGACATCTTAGCCCAGTGCCTGGCATAGAGTATTACATTCAATGATTATTACTGTTATTATTTTAATTGTCATCATTACAGCTAGGCATTCATATAAGATTTTCTGTTCCTGTGTTAAGGGCTGCTACTGTGTGGTAGGCAGGATTATTCCTGATTTATAAATGATGAAACAGAATCAGAGAGGTTAAGTAACTTACTCATTATGGCATAGGTCATAAATGATAGAACTAGCAAAACTAGCAATCAGACTAGTTAGACTAGTCCTGATTCTTCCTCTTTTTATTCCATCACAGAGATCAATCTCACAAATATTCTTAAGCTAATGGTAGGGCACAGTTTGTCGGTTTAGGTGGGTTCTGCATCTGTTGTCCTCGGACTTTTTTTTGGTCTAAATGACGGGATAGCCGTTCCATCTAGGCTCTAAGTCTCCTTGGGCAGGGACACTGGTCTTGCTTTTTATAACCTAGTGTCCTCCATGATCTAGGTGTTCAATTAATGTCGTTACTGGTAACCAAGATGGATTACAAGGCTTGTCTGATTTATTTTGTGATTTCTTGATTAAATTGGCTCACTGCAAAAAGAAGCCTTCAGGAAAGGTTGCCATGTTTTTTCAAAATCATTTCAGTCTTTGGGCCATCGGAGCACAGAATAGACTTGATTTTAGTGAATTAGCCTGCTGAAGCTACCTAAATTCCTTCTCTTGAGAGCAAAAAGTGTGTGGGATGGCCAGACACAGTGGTCCTGGTGGTAGATTGCACGTGGAAGGTGGAGCTGGATGTGTCTCTGCCTCAAGGGCTTATAGGCCTGTCAGCGGCTGGGTTGATTAAAGCATGTGGGGGCTAAAGAGGTATAACTCCTGGTAAGGCTTGCTTGACCAATTAGAATTTAAATGTGTATTAGTGGTGGGTGAAAAAAAAGTGAGGGGACTCTGTTGCAGATATAAAGAGACCTATCAACAAAATACAATATATGGTCATATTTGGATCCTTAATTGAACAAATGAGCTATAAAAAGACATCATTGAGACAGTGGGGAAAATTAAACTTGACCCAGGTATTAGATTATATTAAGAATTATTATTAATCTTGTCAGATGTGATAGTGGTGTCACAGTTTTGTTTGAAGGAGAAGGACTATTTAACAGAAGCAAATAGGCATTTGTTGGTGAAACGATATGCTGTGTGAGGTCTGCTTTTAAAATACTGCAGCAAACAATAAATAATCAACAAGTTGGAAAGAAAGATGAGTGGGAAAAATTGTAGACTATTTATACTTGTTGAAACTGGCTGGTAAGGGTGTGGGGGTTTATTATAGTATTATATTTTTGCATATACTTGAAAATTTCCTAAATGAAAAATTTTTAAAAATGAGATGAAAGTTTCATATAGGATCAAACATCTGTATGAAGAGTTTAATGCTGGATTTCAGTTCTGAAGTCAGCCGCCATGTTATTGTAAGATACATTTAGCTTCAAAAGACAGACTTGGAGAATGTATTAGTATTTGGGGGACAGTGTATTTCTTTCCAAATGTTCAGTTTTTAAGAGGTAGCTATGAAAGAAGTTGGAAAAAGGTATACTCCTGTGATGAAGAAAACTAGGTGCCAATAAATGATGTGTGTTTCTTTGTTGGAAGTAAGATTAGCTAAGTTTGAGGAATACAGATAGACTCTTGGAATAGGAGTGGAGTATGTTCAAGCTTGAATAAAAGACACCCTCTAGAGCAGGAAGTATTCTGTTTCACCTGCCCACTTTGGTTAGGTTTGTAACAATGTGCTGCTCAAGGACCACACCAAGAGGAGAAAATGTATTAATTTGAGCCCTAAACCAAACCATTGAACTTTTTCTCTAACTATTACATAAACTTGAATCAAAGATTGTCAAAAAAATTTTTAAGTAAAAACCTCCCTGTTGAGTGAACTAGTTTGAACAGGAACTTGAGTGTATAAACA